AAAAAGTAAGATCGAAACACAAAAAAGAAAAAAAAAATGGAACTTATAGAAAATATTTGGCCACATCTCTAATATAAATTTGTCATATTAAATACAAATAAGTGAGAAAAAAAGAATTATTTTATTAATGATGGAAATATATACAAAATTTAGATATGGATTGAACACAAAACTATTTCTCCACCCTACTAGTGGATTATCATTTTAATTGCCTTTTCCTAGTCAAATGGGCCAACCCATATGTCATAATTAAAAAAATAAAATGTTAAAATAGATAACAATAAAAAGTATAGAAATATATAAATATTGTAAAAAAAATGGACACATCCATAATATTATAAATTAAAATAAGTGTCATAAGTAATTTTTTTAGTAATGATGAAAGTAAAATACTATAAATCAAGTAAAAAAGGAACTATCAACTAGCCAAGTCAAATGGGCAAGCAATGTGTTGGTAAAATTGATTAAAATTGGCTACAAATACAAAAAGAAAAGAAAAGAAAAGAAGAATTGATGTCCTAATCAATAGTTCAACTAATCATGTCATCTTGTTTATGACCAATGATTTTCTTGCAAAATAGTGATTTGGGTTTAAACAACTTAGAAATTTGTCGAGGTAATAGGGTAAATTTGACTAATTGGTTTAGTTGCAAGTTGAGAACATTAATATAAACTATAATTGATTATCAAAAAATATATAAACTATAATTAAGTAGGAAAATTTGTATCTAACAGTTAAAGTATTTTAACTAAAACATCCTTTAGAATATTTGATAAATTCAAAGAAGTAAATTCAAAAACTTCAATATTGATGATTATTTCAACGGTCCAACCATGGTGCGTTTTGAATTTTTATTGCACATTAGATCAAAACTTCAAGTCTTCAACTGATCATATTAAAGACATTTTGGTTTCAGCCATGTGTACGGAGGAAAAACCAGACTGGTCCCTTATTGGTTGGATGCCATTTTGGTGGGGACAGAGTAGAGATAATCCAACGGATGATTTTGGTCTATTCAACAAATTTGCTATAATCCTCTGGCACTATTGGAAAAATAGATGCAAGATGGTAATAGAGAATAAAGATTTCAACTAAGTTAAAACTATTTCATCGGCTCATGCACATATTGAGGAGTTGACTTCACTTAAAAGGAGGGAGGGCATTCTTGCCTCTCAAAACAACCAAATTATCAGCACCCATTCTTAAAGATTAATGCCGATGGTGCAAATACAGATTCTTTTTCTAGGATTGACATTACCTTGAGAGATCACACCGGAAGTTTTGTATTTAGTAGAGCCATTTGCATGGAAAGGATAGATCCTAACATTACTAAAGTGCGAGTTTTCAGAGTTGGACTCCAATTGACGAAGGAACTCTACTTCTCTCATATTCACATTGAAGGAGATGCGCAAAAGATAACAGATATCCTGTTGGATGCCTCTCAAGGTGTCCCTTGGCGACTTTACACAGTTATTGCTGATTGTAGGAATCTTTTGCAAGAATTTCATTATGTTTTAATCTCCTTTGTCCCTCGTACAGGTAATAGGGCCGCCCATGTAATTGCAAAATTTGCTTGTCATGTGTGTAGGATCACTACTTGGTCCTTACCTCTTGACTTTTTTATTCCTGTACAGGAAGAGGATTTGGTGCAATGAATTTAGCCAAAGGGCTGCTTCAAAAAAAAAAAAGGGTTTTGACTCAAAGCCTTAAAAACCATATATTAATACTGTGCCGATATGATATGATATGATATGCTCCATATCCAACATATGATGACGAAATTTGAAATCTTAAGTCTATTTACCTTCTATTGGTTTCGTTTTATAAAATGTATTTAATATAAATATTAATAACATTAAATATTCAACTCTCATATTATTGATTAAAGTTTTGGGTTTTTTATTGTTTAGTCAACGTCCATAAATCTTAGTTCTACGGTACAGTTGGGGTAGGTGTTAGCTTAGAATTGATGCCAATATACGGGTGAGTATTGATGTTTAGGTGAAAGTATTTGAAATTTTGAATTGTTGTAGATATATAGTGGAATTCAAAACTCTGAGATGGAGTGCAGTCTATTTATCCCTATAGTTTTTAGTTTCACGTGAAATTCATGCACCATACATTTTGCACAATCAAACTAAAATAAAATAAATTAATAGACTGTTAGAATTCATTCTTTTTTTGCTGTAATAGCATAATTTTCATAGGTATTAATAGGATTGTAATGACTAAGACTCGTTATTAGGGGTGTTCACCAAACCGTGGGGCTTTTTTTAGGACTGAACCGACACTATCGGTTTTTGGAAAATCGATAACCGAAACCATTCGGTTAACCGTCGGTTTTTTGGTTTTTCAATTTTTATAATATATATTACAAAAAATATATAAATATATAATAAAAAATTATAAATATATATTTATATATATAATGCATATTTATTAATTTATAATATAATATATATATAAATATAATATACATAAATATGTATAAAATATATAGAATATATGTATACCGGTCGGTTTGGTTAACCGTCGGTTTTTATATTGGTTAACCGAAACCAAATTGATACCTTCGGTTTTTCAAAAACATCGAACCGAAACCAAACCAATTGGTTCAGTTAATCGATTTTTCGGTTCGGTTTTTCTATTTTTTTTGCTCACCCCTATTGCTACTTGTGATGCTTCTATGCTGCAACCATAAACCAACAATATCCCCTACTTATGGATTGTGCAGCATTCAACTTTTCAACTTTTAGCTTTGCCAAGAGGTGTAAAACAAGATCTGCAAAGTGCGGGTTGTGTCGTACTAGTCCGCAGGCCATGCCACCCTTCATTGGGATAATTTGGGGGGTTGGCCCAGCACGGCCCAAGTCTATGCGGACCCGTACTATGCCTTGCCCTACCACGGGCGAGGGTTGTCCGTGGGTCAAGCCTTGGGCCAGGCCGGGCCAAAACTATTTATTTAAAAAAATTGAAAAAACTTAAAATTTTAATTTTATATGAATTTTGATGTATACAATTGCTTACATATACAATAATTAAATAAATTAATATAATAAAATTGAAAATAATTATTTATTTTATTATACATTATATACTATATATTATTATATATAAATATATAAAATATATAAATATTATATATATATATATATATAATATAAATAATATATATGGACCATGCCGTAAATAAAACAACTCGCTCGGTCATGTCATATTGGCCTAACACATGGACATAAAACCCCAGGCCTAACACGGCTTACACGATAGTACTAGGCCATACTGGGCCACAGGTGGCACGACTGGATTTACGCCTCTAACTTTGCTTTTGGACAGCCTTCCAATTCTATCAGCTTCAACTAAAAGAAAGTTGAATCCAAGGTTTGATTGGAACTTCCAAATTAGGGGGATCGGTGTCATGTATCTGGGTATACAAAAAGGATAATAGGACCATCTATAAACCTCATTAAGTGGGAATCTTATACCCAAGCTACATCTTGAACCTATATTGTCAACACAGAATATCATTCCCTAGTTGTGCAAAACTCAATCAAACGGTTTTAGCTTAAAGAGGACGCTATCAACCGAAGGTGAATCTATCACGATCCACCTTTATGGTATGGAGACCGACACGTGGCCATATACTAACCATTCCATATGTTTTCTTCTTTTCTTTTATGGAGTGGGGCCGTGCGGAAACTTACTGACGTCAGTTTAGAATCTTAGTTAAAACCATACACCACAGTCCCACCTTACTTCGTTCATATACAAAATACAACATATGTCAACACGCAAGGCATACCTCCAAGGATTTGTTCCTCACAAATAAATATACAAATATAAAGGTGTTCGTAATGTGCAGCTGAAAAGAACCGTGAGAAACGATGTAATCATAATTTGTGAGGGTTGAATCTGTCCTCTCCAATTCTTTTGATGGATATGGGAGTTGGGATCTACTCCCAACAAAGTCCATCCGAATTCCCAAAACGTTTCCAACATGAACGATGGACATCTCACCATGAACCTGTAGGTACTAGGGCGGTCAAGGTTTGATTCTTCTCGACAGCCCGAGAGGAGGTGATGGGATCTGCTCCTGACATGGGCGCTTCACAAGTACATCCATCATGTATTTGGGCACATCTTCCTAAATGATAACTTATAAGTACGGGAAATATTCTCAATGCATAGTAGGACGTGTGTGTGAAATCGATGTTAGGCGCTTTACGTAAGGAACAGGTCCAGTCTCCGAAAAGAACAGAGCCAAGAATTGATGGGTGGGGTGGGGGGAATTCGGCTTTGGCCACTGCAAGCACATGTCACATTGTTCACACATAGTGAGGACGTGCCACGCATCCTTTGGGTCTACAATGTCTTAACCTGTGCAGGGGGTATTTAGTTAAAATGTTTAATTTATTAATATATAAATAATTTAGTATTTTATTATAAGTTTTATTAAATTTATATTATCAAAATAAAGGTTTAAATTAGGGTTAAGTATTCTGCAGAATTCTGAATGACAGCCTATATAAACTGCATCTTGTCCGTAAATTTGACATCAATTCACAGTTACGATTCATCCCCTTATACGGTGAGTTTACAAAATTCTGACCTAGACTGATCAGTTATTTTCCCTTTAATTTATTATTTAAATAAATAAATAAAATTTTCAGTATAAGTGAATCTATCGGGTGAGGAACCAACTATTAATAGATCCGGTTTTGGGAATGTGATTGCCCCGATTAAGAGTCTGGGACTGAGACCACCTAGACCCGATTTAGATCCGATCCATTGATAGCCCTAACTCGTTCCATCCTAGATGGGCGGTGTCTGATAAGGTTGGGACCTTGTTGGGACATATTTAGCTGGAGCAGATACAGAACTGGAAATGGAGATCTGTATGCTGATGTGGCCGAATCTAACGACTGCGTGCAATCTACGTGGAAAGTTGAAACTTGGGGAGTTCACGGCTAGTGTGGATTCTAAAGCACCGAACTCGCCAGTCGTCTTGAGAAGTTTGGTACCTCTCAAGGACAAGACAGAGGCGACTCCGGAGGCTGATGAGCTGAGTCGCAGATGGAGGCGAAGATGGAGACTCGCTAAACTCTGCTATTCGCCGGCGTGGTTCACGTGAATTATATCTCCCCACCAACTCCGTCTGTGATTTGATTTCTGAGGTTGGTTTCGCCCTCTTGCCGTAGTTCCCAATCGGAGGTTTTCAAGATTTCTTTGTGGCTTCTGCCAGAGCTTTGTTCCGTTTGGTTTGAACCTATTTTATGGGTTGCCGTCGTTCACCCCGAACTTCTGGTTTTGTTTATCTTATACTCTGGAATTTCGTGGCTATGCCATCGAGGAATGGTCGATCAGGAAGACTATAATCTGTTTAATGCCAGAGAAGATTTAGCTTCACGATGTAAGATGTCTTGATTTCTGATTTTTCCCTTTTCTACTCTGAGTAGCTTGATTTCTGATTTTTGATCGATATGGATTTGATGCCAGAGCTTTGCATATGTTGAATGTTCATTGACCATATGAACCATTCTAATAATGATTTTCTTTGTGTTAGAAGTAAACGTTTCTAGCTATATGATTAATATTGCGCCTTTTTTCCACTACGAATTATGTTTGAACAGCATTAGAGAATTGATTTCTTTAACTGGTTCTGAATTACCAATTTCCTTTACCTTGGCAAGTTGACATTATGATGTTTGAGCCAACATTTGATTATTTTGCCGGTTGAACATCTATTATACCACTTACTTTTCAGATATATGGTTAAAAATTTCTTAAGAACTGGGTGCAAAAGATTCCAAGTTAACTTGGTATTTAAAGCTTTTCGCTTGGATATTCATTTTGTTCGAAGCTACAGATATTGTTGCATTTTATGTTCTACTGCCCTGGTCTTCTCATTTTTTTTTTCCGAAAAAGGTAAGATAACTTTTATTGAAAAGACAAAACAAAATACAACAGTCCCCCAAGGGAAACTACCCTGGCCGGGCAAAAACAAGAGCAGAATTACAAAATTACATCTCCCAAATGCTTCTAGACCCCAAAAGAGCCACCATACTATACTGCTGAATACCGTTATCAATAAGCAGCTGAGATCCAAGACACCAGCTTTCCAAAAGAGATGGAGATCAACTCCTCCGCCCCCCTAGAAACCTGTTGGAAAGTTCTTCTATTTCTTTCAGCCCAAATAGTGCTCCAAACACATTTGGCAAACTTTGAGAGCCCATGAACCTCTCAGCTCCAAAGGAGATCCAGAACAGTTTTTGGCAAGACCCAAACCCAAACTGAAAGCAGAAATAAAGTGCCACTAGACTCGGGAAGTCACAGGGCAGTGGATGAAGAGGCGATTTGTGTCTTCTACATTTTTTTTGATCAATAACTGTGGATTGAATTAATATTAAAAATATGAGAAAATTACAGGGCAAGGGGGCTAAACAATCTTAGCTCCCAAGAACAACCATTAAGCATCAAAAGAACAAAAATTACAACACAGCCCAAAAAATAGAATGTCTATTCACCCCTTGTCTAGCTAGACGATCTGCCAAAGAGTTCGC